GCAAGGAACTGCGCTCAAGCAATTCAATTAGATTAGTGGTCCCGACCGAAAACAGCACTTTCCAAGACAATGCGTCGAAGCTATTCAACAATTTACCAGAATCTATTAGAAACTGTAAAGATTACAGAACCTTTTTAAGACTTTCAAGGAATTTTTTAGGTAATAGAGTACAGAGCGATTAGCTAGTTTTACTGTAGTTTTTAGTCTGTCAATCTTACTTCTACTTTTAATTGTATATTGCGTAATTTGTGAATAACTTAATTTGATTTATTTTAATTGTAATTTATGTACTTTTAACAGAGAAGAGCCACCTAGTGGACCTGACAATGAAACATTATTATTATTATTATTATTATTATTATTATTATTATTATTATTATTATTATTAAATAAAAATGTTTGTACAAGATATGCTTTATTGACAAGATTAGAAGCGCCTCGTGAAGTACCTTAAAGGGAGGCAGATTTACCGTTAACTTTGTTTGTGGTATTTGGGTTATCATTATTTTGCCGAAGGTTACGTGACAGCCGAACTACGAACTTTGAAGTTTAATATCGCGACTGGCTTTGTAACTTACTTCTCTGTTACTTCACAGCGGCTGTGACATCTCTTGCCAAATTTGGAGCTCACTGTGACAGCTTGTGTTCAAGCATGTTGGTCCTTCTGTCTAGGTCAGTAACTTATGATCTGCTATGAGATGGTTCATTTTAGTAAAAACTCATCTTCTGATATGTCATCAGGTAAGGAAAGTTCGAACCCTGGTCCTTTGGATTATGCACTGCGATGCTCCAGTGCCACTCTCTCAACCGATCTTGCTTTGAGCTGCGCGCACCGGAGCGCGAAATACGAATTTCTGTGGTTCGATTTGTCGTGGGGACTTATATTTTTACCTTTGTCCCACGCTCTGAAAAACCAAACAAACATATACCGGTAATATCTTTCCTTATTCGACGATTAAGCTCAAGATTTTTTATTTTCCTCATTTGAATTTTCACAGATGTCTTTTGGATACCGACGATGAAGTGAGAGACAGGGCGACATTTTATGTAAATGTTTTGAAGGAGAAAGAGAAGGCCTTGTCATCAGGCTACATCTTGAACGGTGGGTTGCCTGACTTAAGAGACATTTGTACCGCGTTTACCTGAGACGAAAAACGTCAGCTTGCTCTTTCACCTTCCACGTAAAGAAGCATGAACCGTACTGCGTTAGCTTTGCTTGTGCTCACGTCATGGTGGATTTTCAAGGCGCCAGCCTTGTATGACTCACGGAGACTTGTTTTGGTGCCGGCAATTAAATTCCACTCTGTGAGAGAAAAAGTAAACAAAATCTTAGGTAAACGGCAAAAGCGAAAAGGATTACTCTCACGTAGAAACGGCAACTAGCATTTCTGTTCCTTGCACAGGCCTCCAAGTGTCCATTGTTGGATTGGAGAGAGCCCTGCATGCTTATGTCAAAGACTCCTCACAGACTGCGCCATTTGATCTCAAGACTGTTCCCTTGGCAACCACGCCCATGCAAGATCAGGTCGTAAAACCTGGAAAAGCTGGTAAGTTATGTTCCTGTGCGTTCTCTATCGTTGTGGTTCTTCAGTTTTTTTTGTAGCCTATTCGGTGTTTGTTTTTTTTTCTTTGCGAACCTTTTTTGTGGTTAAGAAGGTGTTTTTGTACTTTTTAAGGAAAGTACTGTAGCAGATTGTGAACTGTTCTTTGTTGAAATGGTTTATGGTAAGGTGTTTTTCTTCTGTACGAGGAGAGTAAGACACTAAAATGTCTTTTTTTATTATTGGGCTTTCACTGATGAGGGCATGAAGCCGAAAAGTGAAGATACAGTAATATTTCTAAGCCCTTTTTTTGTTAAGGTAAACTGAGCACCGATTTGTCGACTGGTCTTCTGGTCTGCTTCCTTTTCACTAAAGAGAGGTCTTATTTCTTTGTTGTTTTTTTTTTTCCTTTGAAGCAATCGAGACGCCTTCTGCTCCAACCAAAGCTGCGGCACCCGTGGCAGTCACCAGACAGGACGTGTATGCTGGTAAGGAATACTAACTTGCTCGAGGCGGACTGTTTTAGGGCCTTAAATGTTACCGAAGTTTAGCGAAGACCTCCGGAGATTCCCGAGCAGGAGAAAAATGTCT